CAAAGAGATTTGGGAAACAAGGAAGAGAATAATCATACCTGTTCCTGGCCACTTTTCTTTAGCTGGATGACAGTTCTCTCTTGCTTGACATTATATTCAAGTTAGAAGATAATCAGGCAACTAGTGGATCGCTGGGTATAAAACCTAGTACTATTAGTATAATCACAAAGGTGCAGTCTAAAAAGATTAATGACACACGCATTGACACATTCAACTGCAAAACCCCAGAAGCAAAGCAAAGCAAAATGTCTGAAGAGAGAAGGAAACTCTACTTTTTGGGAACCCTGGACATTCTCTGGGAAGTTTTGATGGGTCATCTCTCTCCTCCATCCCTTATTACCTGACCCCAAATTTCCTACCAGACATGATTACCTTATTTAAGATAGGACTTTGACTATCCCTTCTATGATTTTTTTTTTCCAACTCGGAGCATGCCACTTCCCTGTTTAACAGCCTTTAATGATTCTCTATTGTCTATACTTTTTAACTTTATCATTGTTGTCTATGTATGTCTAGGGTTCTCAAACTTCAGAGAAGAGAGGAATCACTGGGGGCCACTAATTGAAAATGTAGACTTGTAAATCTCAACCCCAGAGATTTTGATTCAGTCACTCTGGACTGAGACCTAGGAGTCTGCATTGTGATAACCTTCTGGTGATTTCAGTGCAAGTGGCCCATGGAATACATGTTGACCAAACAACAGTCTCTGGCATAAAGCTCATAGTCCTTGGCCTGGCTTTCAGGCCCTCTGAAGTTTGACTCCAACTTGCTTAGTCAATAGTGCTAAGTAGCCTTTCCTCACCCTCACCCCCACCGGGTCTGCAGACCTCCAGACCAACCTAGTGGGTAAGACTGGCAAACACATTTTGGCAAGGCAAAGTTAATCTCTCCTGTCCCTTTTCTCCCTGCCTTTAGCATCTCAGTGTTAGCACAGAGTTGTTCGAACTATAGGCTGCCACACAATAATAGGTTCTGACCAGCTTTTTATTTAAATTTATGATTCCTATAATAGAATACATGGAAAATATCAGTGTGCATTTCCATAGTTAAGGGTATTGCAACATATTTGTTTCAGTTAATTATACATATACAGAGGTATGTATTATGTCAGGGTATAAAATATATTTCTTACTGTGGGTTGTACTACAACACTGAAAGCCACAGCTATAGGAACTCACCCAATTTGCCTCTCATTAGATCTGTCAGTATAGCCTTCTGTTTCTCCATTATTGTGAACCTTTGGTGAATAATAAATAAAGCTATCTTTACCCTCTTATTCCTCTGGCATCCATCATGGTGTTTTGTGCTCAACAACTGAAGTGATTTGTTTGTATCATCACAATCATGACTCTTCTGGGTTTAACTACTTCAGATCAAGTATCCTCTTTTAGGGTACAGAGTTGGGGCTGTTCCTTTCAGAAATTGCCTCTTTGTGGGGCACGTGGGTGGCTTGGTTAAGCATCTGCCTTTGACTCGGGTCACAATCTTAGGGTCCTGGGATCAAGCCCTGTGTTGGCTCCCTACTCAGTGGGGAGTCTGCTGTCTCTCTCCCTCTGCCCCGTACCCCACTCATGCTCCCTCTCTCTCTCAAATAAATAAATAAAACCTTAAAAAAAAAAAAGAAATAGCCTCTGTGAGACAGAGAACCTTAGAGTATTGCCAGGAGAAGTGGCCCCTCACCTTGGCCAGAAGCAAAGGGTAACATTTTCTAAGGCGATGAGGTTCTTTGGGGCAATATATTTCCGCTGGAAATTCTGGAGTGTCATCTAAGGAATGGAGTGGGTGGCTAACTGGCCCGAGGTGGCTCAGTGAAAGGACACTCTAGAAGAACAAGGGTGGGGAAAGTAGCCACGTGAGCCTTCTAGGTGAGCATTTGTTAAGCACCCATTGCTCAATAAATGAGTTACTATGCAGGTGCTTAAGAACCCAGAAGTGAGGGATGCCTGGGTGGCTCAGTGGCTGAGCATCTGACTTTGGCTCAGGTTGTGATCCTGGGGTCGTGGGATCCAGCCCTACATCGGGCTCCCCACAGGGAGGCTGCTTCTTCCTCTGCCTATGTCTCTGCCTCTCTCTGTGTGTCTCTCATGAATAAATAAATAAAATCTTAAACACAAAAAAAGAACACAGAAGTGTTCAGCATGGGTGACAGACTGAACCACATTGGGATCACAGGTCCATTTTCTTGAGGACAACAGTGTTTCAGATGGCAATGTGTCTGGTCAAGGTTGCTTGAATGCAAGTCTTTTTATACCGAGCTTGCTTCTCAGTATGTTAAGTGCACATCTCCTTTAGCTGTGAGTTGGGGACCTCCTGCCTGCAGCAAAGTCTCTGGCTTTGAAGGATTCAGTGCAGGAGTGAAGGCATAAACTTTCAGAAACGATTTCCCGGCCAAGTCCCTTGAACTGGATGCACAGGGAGCTAGCAGAGCAGTCCAGCAGGGCGATGCCGGGCAGAAGTAGAGGTGAGGTAGAGCTTTTCTGATGAAAAGCTTGGGTGAGTGGAGAGTAAGGAGGGGCCACTTTTTAGAGGACGAGGGAGGAAGGGAGCTCTGACTTATTGCAGCTGAGACTCGGTGACAGCTAAGGGCCAGATGTAAATGATCTCAGTGAAGACTGCAGTATGAAGGCCAAGAGAAGAGAGGAGAGGCATGGAATTTACCCAAATATCCAAAGGGTTTTGTTGTAAGGTCTTCAATCTGTCCATGGCCTCAAAATGAGACTTCTTGAGAACGAGCAAAGTAATATCACTCTTTTAAAAAGCAGAGGTCACATACCTTATCGGAACGGCTAAAATCCAAAAAAACCTGACAGTTCCCCATGCTAGCGAGGATGTGAAGCAACAGGAACACTCATTCATTGCTTGTGGGGATGCAAAATGGAATGATCACGTTGGAAGCCAATTTGGCAGTTTCCTACAAAATCAAACGTACTCTCACCATACGATCCAAGCCACTACACTCCTAGATGTTTACACAGTCGAGTTGAAAGCTGTGTCCACGCAAAAACCTGCACGTGAATGCTATATCAGTTTTATTCAAAACCAGTGCAAACTGGAAGTGACCAAGATATCCTTCAATGGGTGAATGGATAAACAAATGGTACAGGGGATCCCTGGGTGGCTCAGTGGTTTAGTACCTGCCTTCAGCCCAGGGCCTAATCCTACAGTCCCGGGTTCGAGTCCCACATCGGGCTCCCTGCATGGAGCCTGCTTCTCCCTCTGCCTGTGTCTCTGCCTCTGTGTGTGTGTGTGTGTGTGTCTCATGAATAAACAAATAAAACCTTTTAAAAAATGGTACAGATGGATAAAGAAATGGTGATCCATCCAGACAATGGAATATTATTCAGCAATTTAAAAAATGAGTTATCAAGCCACAAAAGTACATGGAGGAACCCTAAGTGCATACTGTTAAATGAAAGAAGCCAGTCTGAAGAGGCTACGTAGTGTACAATCCCGACTTACTTGGTGTTTTGGAAAAGACAAAACTAGAGAAATCATAAAAAGATCTGTGGTTACCAGGGGCTGTGTCAGGGGGAGGGAGAGGGATGTGTAGGTGGAGCGTAGTGGGTTTTGAGTATAGGGAAACTATTCTCAATGCAACTGCAGCAGTGAATACATGTTATTAATGCAATTGCCAAAACCCATAGATGGAGGGCACCTGGGTGACTCAGTGGTTGAGCAACTATCTGCTTTTGGCTCAAGTCATGATCCCGGGATCCTGGGATCGAGTCCCACATTAGGCTCCCTGCTTGGACCCTGCTTCTCCCTCTTCCTATGTCTCTTCCTCTCTATGTGTCTCATGAATAAATAAATAAAATCTTGAAAAACAACAACAAACCCATAGATGGTACAACATGGTGTCTCTTCAAGGGAACTATGGCCTATAGGTAATTAATTATAATGTGTCAGTATGGACTCATCAAGTGTAACAAATGAACCACACTAATGCAAGATATTAATAATAATAGGGAGAACGGTGTGGGGGTGGAGATAGGAAGGTGGGGGCTGAGTATTTAGAACTCTGTATACTATCTGCTCAATTGTTCTTTACCTCCAAAACGGCGCTAAAAAATAAAGTGTGTTAATTATTGTTTAAAAGAAATTAAGAGATTTCACATTAACAGCAAAAAAAAAAAAAAAAAAAGAGGCAAATGGGATGAGACTTATTTTTAAATTTTAAGAGAGGCAGCAAGGAGATCCTGGAAACTTGCCTGTAAATGGCACAACCAGCCTTGCTACCCAAGGGCCGCCTTCATGTACAGGATCCTTCACTTATAAAATAAGTCCACACCACATTTCCTCAGCGGTACAGGTTCAGGTCCTGTTGGGTTTGCATATGGAACCCCATTGGAAGTGAGGACCAAAATTTTCATTCCCTTCCTAATTTTCTGAATTTTCTCATGGAAGTGAAATCGAGCTTGTCTCTGGTAAATTTTTAAAAGCAGCATCAGAAATTCCTTCCAAAGGAAAAAAGGCTTTTCTGTGACTGAACTTTTCTCAATCAGCTATAATGATGGCTTTCCTGTTAATTCTCCCTAATTATGTAGAAGGCCTTTTAAATTTGTTTCGGTGGTTTTTCTCTTCTGACATGAAGCAATCAGCCCACCTTTCATATTATAAGAAGGTGGCAGCTGCTTTTTCTCCTTTTCCTCTTGTTCTTCTTCCTTTTAAGTCTTTTCTCCATTTTGGAATTTCTGCAAGTGATCCAAGGTGTAAATCCCAATCTGTCCCGCAAATGGTCTTTAGTGAGGTGCTTGCTCTAAATCCCCCTGAGCCACCGATTTAATCCCCTTGAGTTCTAAATCCTTTTGCTTTGGGGCCCAGGATCTCATCCCATAACCTTTTGAATCACCAACATAACTGAGAAAGTTGGCCCTTTCCATGTAAATGGCAAGAAAGCCTAAAGGCAATAAACCCTGCAGAGTGGAACGTATTGATTTCAAAGATCACCTTTGATCCACACTTTTCCTCTTTATAATGTGTGGTTTTCTTCTCTTAATTAGAAAGAGCCAGGGATTATCTGCACAAAACCGGAAGGTTTATCGTGATTGGTGGGATTGTCTCTCCTGTCCACGACTCCTATGGAAAACAGGTGGGTTCCTCCTTCGCTTCTCTGCTCCTTCTGCACCCCCCGCCCCCACGTCGTGGCTCTCCCAGCCCACAGCTGCCCCCTGCCATCTCGGCTACACCTCCTGGGAACACGCAATGCCCGACAGCAGGCGTCGTGCTCCGGCACACCTGAGCCGGTGGCGCTGGGCAGCAGCTGGGAGGGACAGTGCCCAGGTCCGTGCCCAGGCCTGTGCCCACGCCCGGGACCGCTGGAGCGCCGGCCGGGTCAGCGCTCAGTAGAAGCGGGGTGGCCGCACCCGCTGAGGGCCACTGGCGGCCGGTTGCGGCCTGGCCAAGTCTTTTCTGGAGTTTAGGAGGAAAAGACCTTTGCCTTTTCTGATCTGATTTAAAAGTCCCTTCCTTGCCGCTCGGTCCCTGCCACATGTCCGGGAAGGTCTAGGAGCCCTCCAGCGTGTCCATCCCCCCTTCCACCCCCATACCTGTCGGTGGGCACCGGGGAGGTCACGGCCAGCCGGAGCCTCGGGGCAAGGCACCGTTGCGGGGTTAGGTGTCTCCCTGTCCCCGTGCTGGGCACGCGTTGGCGGCTTCATCCAGAGGCTCGCCTCCTGACCCTGTCGGGCGTGGCCCATCCCGTGGCCTGCGTTCCTTCCTGCTCGCCACTCGGCATGTCACCGTGTCTGCGTGGCAGATGGACAGGTGGGAGGCCACACCCTCGGTCCCTGCCACCACTGACAAATGGCCACCCCTGAATAACGGGCCGGCTTGGGATGGGGTCTCGGGAGGCCGTGGAGAGCCGAGGGAGCCCCCCAGTGACTGCTCTGTTGTCCCCCAGGGCCTTGTGTCCAGCCGGCACCGCCTCATCATGTGTCAGCTGGCCGTCCAGAATTCCGATTGGATCAGGTAGGGCTGGCCTGGCGACTGCCAGAGTGGGTGGCCTGGGACTCACTGGGGGTGAGTGGAGAAAGAGGAGTGGGGCACCTGGGTGGCTCAGCGGTTGAGCATCTGCCTTTGGCCCAGGATGTAATCCTGGGGTCCCAGGATCGAGTCCTGCATTGGGCTCCCTGCATGGAGCCTGTTTCTCCCTCTGCCTGTGTCTCTGCCTCTGGGTTTCTCAAGAGTAAATAAATGAAATCCAAGGAAAGAGAAAGAAGGAAGGAAGGAAGGAAGGAAGGAAGGAAGGAAGGAAGGAAGGAAGGAAGGAAGGAAGGAAGGAAAGAGAGGGAAAGAGAGGGAAGGGAGGGAAGGGAAGGAAAGGAAAGGAAAGGAAAGGAAAGGAAAGGAAAGGAAAGGAAAGGAAAGGAAAGGAAAGGAAAGGAAAGGAAAGGAAAGGAAAGGAAAGGAAAGGAAAGGAAAGGAAAGGAAAGGAGAGTCCCCTTATCCATCTGGATCCCACAGGGGTGGGGAGGCCAGAAGAGGTATTCGTCCCCCGTGCCCCCCCTGCCGGCAAAAATTATGCAGCCTTCCAGGTGGCCCAGCCTATCCGCAGCTTTGTTTCATAACAAGCCATAGGGCCCCGCAGACTTAAGAGGGAAGCTTCAGGGTTCCTTCTGCTCTGGGACTTTGGGATCCAGGAGTATTCCTGAAGCATCACTGGATTAGGGGAGAGGCCTGGCCAGGAAATCGGAAATGCCTCTCCACTTTCCTCCTCAGTTACTTCCCGTGGACTCTCACTATCTTTTCGAGAATGTTCCCTGGCCTTCCTCATTTCCCGGTCCTGAACTCGGGCTCCCTGGGGCCCCACGCTGACCGGGGGAGCGAGGGGCTGCCAGCCACGGCTCCGGCCTTTCCCTCAGACCCGGGGCACAGTCCTCACCAAGATGCAGAGGCCCGTGATGCGCAGCGCTTGCAGTGTAATTAAAGCAAGCTTCCACTAATTACGCTAATTGTGCTCCCCAAAGTTCCTACAGTTATAATTTGCATGAGAAAATGGAGCTTTAAAAAAATAATGGCACACCATTTGTACTGTAATTTCCCCCCACGGAAGAATAAGCAGCACCTAGAGGTTTCCCTGAAAGGAGGGAAGTGAAGAGAAGCTGACCTCCCAATGAGGGAGAAGAGATGGGGTGGGAGGGAGGGAGAGCAGGGAAGGGAAGCGACCATAATAATTAAATAGCGATCCTTGCCTGTGGTGAGCACTGATTTGTGTGAGAAACACTTGCCCTTGAGAGGCTGGGGGTGACAGCTGCCTTTTCTCTGGTGAGAAACAGACCCAGAGAGCTCAAGGGCTTTGAGGGAGCACAGCACCTCTGTGGTGGCTGCAGGGAGAGAAACCAGGCCTTGTAACATCGTGGCTCAGGATCTCCTGGGGAAAACAGGGTCCCGTGGGGAAAAATACCGGCAGGAGGTTGTTCCTGCTTGGATGTGACTAGAGAATTCTGGAAGAATTGCTTCATTCATTCAACCAATATTTACCCAGCTCTCCCCCCCCCACCCCCCTGCACTGCTCCAGGCACTTGGGGAGAGTCAGAGTTCCAAGAACTGAGATCTCTGGGGAGGCCCAGGTAGCTCCAGAGGCAGGGGCTGGGGCCCTGGGGCTGGGGGAGCCTGTCTAGCCTCATCTGCTGGTTTCAGGGGGGCGGGTGGTGGGCAGGGATACGGGGAGCCTGACGCACAAGCTGCCTCTCCAGGGTTTCCAGTGAGCTCTCGCCACTGGGAAGCTTAGGTGTGTGTGCCCGGTGGGAGGTGGGCAGGGAATGCTCAACTGCTGAGAAAATGTTGGAGAAATATCCCAATTTAGCAGCTCATTAAGTTGGCAATTAAGCTCAAGCTCTGCATCAGCCTGGGCTAGGTCCCTGCTCATTTCACATCCTGGTGATGAAGTTTGGGAATATAGGTGAGGTTTGGTGGGGTGAGGTCCCGAGTCCGTGACCAAGAAAAATTCTTGAGATGTCTTTGGTGCAAAATGGTGGTTTTATTGAAGCCCAGGGACAGGACCCGTGGGCAGGAAGAGCTGCTGCCCCGGGCCTGTGAGGGGCTGATTATATACCTGGGAGTTGGGAGGGGTTGAAGGAGTTTTGGAAGCAAGGTTTCCAGGACCTGGCGGGGGCTAGCTGTTGTTGGGAGAAGGTCATTTATTACCGTCTAATAAAACCTGAGTCATGAGATCCTTCAGGTGTATATTGGTGGGCCATGTGCTTGGAGGATGATTGCCAACTCGTACCTTGAGGGTTTAGAGATTAAAGTAGACTTACAGGCCCCTGGGGGTCGGGCTAAGATTGCCTTCTGCCCTTAGCAAGGTATTAACATCAAGGCAGTTGAGTCCCTAGAGGAGAGTCCCTCTGCCTGTTTCAAGGACTTGTCAGTGTGCTGCCCCGGGCTTGTGCTTTGTCCTCAGCTAGTCCTCTGTTCCCTCATCACTGGTGGACAGGAGGGGTCGACCAGTGTGTGTGGCTCTGCCTTTCAGTCTGGGGGGGCACACCTCCCCTATGTGCCCACAAGCCCCCCCACCGCCCCCCAGTGTACAGGGATACACACAGGGGCAGATCCCCTAATTCAAATATCCGTAGCCACCACTTGAGGAAGGCCTGGCTTTTCATCCTTATCACAATCCCACAGGGCCCAGAGCAGAACTTTCATCTTGTGGGGAAGCACAAGAGCCAGACTCTGTACTAAGCACTTTATAAACCTCATGGAGCCCTTCTCATAACCCCACAAAAGAGTTATATAGTCTGTAAAATAACAGGTGGGGAAGGTGAGCACCAAAAGACCATATAACTTTCCCAAAGCTCCATACCGTCCTCGTTTTACAGACGGGGAAACTGAGGTGTAGGGAGGTGTTTCAGGCCCACGTTTGATCTGATTTGGGATCTCGGTGTGAGCAGCTTGGCTAAGTTCCCTGAGCTATGTTCTCTGGAATTACTAAAGAAAGAGTGTGAGAACAGAATCCAAGGGAAACCTCTTTCTGGTTACGTTAGGGTGGACCCCTGGGAGTGCTATCAGGACACCTGGCAAACCACCTGCAGTGTGTTGGAACACCATCGGGACCTCATGAAGGTGAGCTGGGCCACGGCGGGGAAGGGCGGGTGGCCCCCAGCAGCCGGGCAGGCCGGGGAAGGGTGCTGCTGGCCTACTGACCTGGTTCAGTTTCCTGCTTCTCAGCCAGCTGTGTGGGAGAACGGGCCTCGAGCAGCAGGAAGGAGGGCAGTCAGTGAGGAACCCAAATAGTTCCAGGGGTTGCTCCCCATCTCTCTCCCCCTGCTTCGTATGACTTGGGGTGGTTTTCATCTTCTGACAGCAAATCCAGGGTGGGATTAAGGAGAGACTTCAAAAAGTGAGTAGGGAAGGAGACCTGGCCAAGAAAGGCAGAATAGAGGAGCTGTGGGACAAGGTACAAGCCACCAAGATGCTCCTGCCCCATCTGCTTAGCACCTGCCAGTCCCCTTACTCCAGCCCCGGGGGCTGTGGCCGAGGCACCTCACCCCTGCCAGTCATCGTACCTTTGTTCATGCTCTTTCCTCCTCACATGAGTTCTAAGGCAGACAGTGTTCTGGTCCTCGTTCTATTAGTGGATGAAAGGAAGCCCAAAGAGGTGAGCCAACCTATCTGAGGACACAGCCATTTGTAGCGTGTTTGGTGAACACAGATGGGAGCCAGTGGCTTGCGCCCAGTTGTAGCGACTGAAGAGCTGGTTGCCAGATTATAACAAGTGATCAGAGTGTGCAGAAAGCACCCTTCCCAGATCAACACCAGCCCATCGATTTCCACGGTGATAGGATGAAGAGCGGTGCCTTCCCTAGCAAGAAGCCTGACGGACCAAGACAAGGTGCAATGGATTCCGCTCACCTCCGCTCACCCTGTCACGGTGCCCTCTTCAGCCCCAAACAGCAGACCAGATGGCATTGTTCTAACACGGGGAGCATCTCTACCCATCTGTGTTTTCTGTCAGTGGGTGTCTGAATCCTCCCCAGGGGGAGCGGTCAGCAACCCCGGTCACCTCACGCTCCACCAGCTGGGCAGCTGTGCTTTATTTTAATAGAGTTGGAGCTTAGGGTTTCTGACCAGCCAGGGAGTCAAGAGGAAGAGGAAGAAGAAGAGGAAGAGGAAGAGGAAGAGGAAGAGGAAGAGGAAGAGGGAGAGCTCTACCTGGGTGCCGCTTGATCGACTGGGTTGGTCCCCCTTGGAATCAGAGAAAACGCATCTCCCTTCCTTCCGTTTTCAGAATCTCTCACGCACATCCTGAGCCTTCTCTGGTCCCCTTGGAAGGACTCCAACATAGGGTGGCCCTGACTTGCTCCCCGGGCTGGTCTCAACAACAGCAGTGACAAAAGACCTCCCATCTTACTGTCTTAGGATAGGCTAAGATACGCCGTGGTAACAAACAGCCTTCAAATCTTAGTAACTTCCCCTAAGTTTATTTCTCACACTACATGTCAGCTGGGGCTCAGTCGGGACCTCTGCACCTTCTTATCACTCAGGAGCCTCAGACTCCATGGTGGAAAGGAGGAATCAGGGACCTCACAGGCATGCCCGAGTCCTGGCTGTACCAGCCATGAGGCCTGACTGCTGCTTGACCGTTTGCACGCCTGGCCTTCCCGAACCCTCCCTCCGTTACTCCTGCCCAGAGGTAGAGTCTGGGCCAAGCAGCTCAGCTGTCACATGATGGGCAGAGGCCAGTAAAGAATGTGAGTGGGTCCCAAGGGCCCCTGCCTGAGAGTGGAGGCTGGTGACTCCCCATCTGTCCTGTTCTACCATCAGGCCGGTGTTCCTGGTGTGGAGGATAGACCCGTAGGAGAGTGACACAGGCCTTCCTTGGTCGGTGACCCACAGCTGTGCTCAGAAAGGCCTCTGAGAACGTGAGAGCCTGTGGAGGGCTGAAGAGGGCAGAGTGGGGCACGCTCCTTTTCTTCTCTACCTAGAACAAGTTCAGCGGGACCAGCCATGCAAGCAGCAGGAGCAAGAAGTCCTCAGCTACCAGGACAGCTACTAAATGAGAACATGGCATTTTCTTTTCTGGAGGTGAAATAATTATAAAAAAGAAGGCAGGCTGCCTCTTCCACTCCACCAGCCACCACCGGGCAGAGAATCCCACAAAGCAGGCTAAGAAGAGCCTTTGGTAGCGGCCTCGGCCTCCGCCTCGGCTGGCTCCCAGATGTGGCTGGATGCTGCTGTGACCTCCTGCCAGCAGGAGCGTTGCAGAAGTGACAGGTTACCCCACAGAACAAATGCCTGCCCTTCCCCGGGGCTCAGGAGGATTCAGCGCTGCTCTCTGCCTCTGCAGGGGAGGTGCCTTCAGGGGGTCAGGGCAGCCCCGGGGCTTGGGGTTCTCTGGCAGCAGGACTCAGGAATCCAGAGAGAGTGGTGCGCGGAGGTGGGATACCGGCTTTCAGGGAAGGGACCTTGCATAAGCAACAGCCCTTGGAAAGCTAACCTGATTGAAAATCCGTCCTTTGTTTCCCTGTAGCGGGCTCTCACAACCACAGCAGGGAAGGGGGGTTGCTTCTGGGTCAGCTGTGAAGAATGCAGCCTTATCAGCTCTCTGCTTTCTGTGGCACCAGAGGGAAGCAGCAGGCCAGATAACACAGCACAATGGATAATAGGCATAGAATTTCCGTTTGGGTCTGGGATGTGTATGCACACTGGCAAGCTGGCGCACGAGTGCCCAGAGCCCCCCCCTTCCTGCCACACAAACACATCCTGCTTGGCCTGGCACCGCTCTCTGCCTTGGCCCCGTCATTGGCATCTCTGGCCTGGAGAGGCGGCAGGTGGCGATAGTGCCTGGTGTTTGTATGACCTTTCCCAAGCTTACGCAGCCCTTTTGCAGACATGACCTCATTCGAGCCCCGTGAAGCAGGCAGGGAGGGCAGGTATGCACGTTACACAGAGGGTTACAACATCGGCTGCCAGGTGCCAAATACTCTACAGGCAAATGCTTTGCAAATGCTCACATGTGCCATCCCACCACAGCCCCGTAAGGCAGTCACATGGCCTGTCCGTGTTCAACTCTTGAGCTGAGGTTCAAGAGACGTTGGCAATCCAAGGTCACGCAGCCAGAAGGGGGCAGAGCTCAAACTTGAACCAGGGTCTGTGCAGCAGTAGACCCCATGCTTTTCCAGGCCTGAGCTAGCTGCCTTGCCTCCTGCCAGCCTAGTGCAGCCACGTGGTACAGCTGGGTCCCGAAGCCACCCCAGGCACCACCTCCAAGTGGCCTCCCCAAGATAGATGAGCAGATGAACATTTGAAGATAACTAGGAATGCTTCTCATAAGTCACTTGGCTAATGACACCAACCTTGTACCTCTCCCTTTTCCCAGCGGGTGACTGGCTGCATCCTCTCCAATGTCAACACACCCTCCATGACGCCTGTGATCGGACAGCCCCAGAATGAGACCCCCCAGCCCATTTACCAGAACAGCAACGTGTCCACCAAGCCCACTGCAGGTAGGGGAACAGTGATGTGAAGCCGTGGTTCTCAAACTTCAGAATCAACTGGAGGACTTGATAAAATCCAAATTGCTAGGTCCTTCTCCAGAATGTGATTGAGTAGGTCTGGGAAGGAGAGGAGAATTTGCATTTTTAACGAGGTGATGCGGATGCTCTGGTCCTGAAAATAGAGCCTCAGGGAGAAATAGTCACAATGAGAGAGAGAGAGAGAGAGAGAGAGAGGGAAACAGAGAGAGACAGGGTTGATGGGCGTGCATTTTTTTCTGCACTTAAATATAAATATAATTGTCTTAGCTGGGAATTAAAAATACAGAAGGCAGCATTTTTCTCTGCCTCTCTCAAAGGGGTTGAGGATCTCGCCCAAGGTCACACAGTGATGAGGTAGCAGGACTAGGCTTTCAAACCCAGGTGTCTGCATTCAGAATCGCACACTCTTAGCCACCTCTTCAGTGGCAAAGAGCAAGGGCTCCAACATTTACCCAGCGCCTAGTACTGTATGCCCGTACAATGCTCAGTGCTTTACACGGATTCTCATTTAACACAGCAATTCTGTGACATAGATACTGTGTTCCCATTTACCAAGGGAAAACAAATTCAGAGAGGGCAAGTGATTAGCCTAAGGTCACACAGCTCAAAAGTAGAAAAGTCAGAGTTCATATTCAGGACTATTTAATACCAAGGTCCACATTTTTTCCAATAGTTTTTTTTTTTTTTTTTTTTTTTTACCAACTAATTGCAAGGGACAGATCCTGGTATTACTTTTCACGTCTAGAGACCATAAGCTGTTATATTAGTCTGTTCTAAACAGGGTAGTTCACAAAAAGGCAGAATTTATTCGTTCTTACACAGCAACATGTGGGGGCTCAGAAAAAATTTCTGAATTAGGGCCCCGAGAGGTCATCAAAAACCGGATCCCTTTCGGCTGGTTGAATAGGATGTCTCATTATTATAAAGTCCGTCTTCATGGGAAGGAATGAAGGCTAAGGCTCATATTAAAAAAATGAAAAAAAAATAGCCCATATGTCTTTTAAATTCAGAATATGAGCCAAGTTATGGTATGCAAACATATCTGCATAATGCATTTTTTTTAAATGGAGGAAAATAAATAATATACCAATATGTTAGTGGTGGTTATCTCCAGGGATGGGGTTATGGGTGCTTTTTATTTTCTTCTTTATTTATTTCCCTCTTCCGTATTTTCCATTTTTTAATAGTATATTAAACATGAGCAGAAAATAGATTCCAGTCTATGGCTCAAAATGCTTGCGACTTGGACTGTGAACGAGAAGGAATGTTTGCTGTCATATTTCTGTTCTTTCTCTCTACCCTCCTGCCTCCCACTACCCAACCCTTGCCCCCTCCAGTGCAACCCTGTTGTTTAAGTGTCCCAAATGCCGGGCTGTAAGTTGTGAGTGGTTCTCTCCCTCTGTCCCTGTCTGTCTTGCTCTCTCCCATAGCCAAGATCTTGGGGAAGGTGGGAGAAAGTTTAAGCCGGATCTGCTGTGTCCGCCCACCCGTGGAGCGCTTCACCTTTGTGGGTAAGGGAGCAAGGACCCTCTTTCCGGGTCCTGTGTCTTCTTTGTCCCTCCCTATATTCATTCAGCAAACACCTCCCAGCACCTGCTGTGGGATGACCATTTATAGAGCCACGATGAAGAGAAAAGAGAAGTAAACAGAAATGTCCCCAGACCTGCAGGGCCAAGCAGTTACAGGAGGCCAGAGGGTGTGACCAGCCTGCCCTGGGGCTGCTGAGGGGCCTCTGCGGTGATGTGCTCATTTCCCATCCCCCTCCACCCCTACACACAGAATGAGGCCACATGCTTAAGTTTTCAGGGGCCCGGAATCCTCCCTCGGGGCCTTCCAGCTCTGGCAGTGTCTGTGACCCTGCTGATACGCTACTAACCCACATGCTCTGCCCTTAATTCCCTGCTTCTGGCTGTTCCTTCAAGGACTCAGCATGGATGAGAGCATCCGAGTCTCTGGGGGCTCTTTCAGGGTCCCCCAATTCAACTCTGCAGAAGAACTGAAGGTCTAGACCTCATTCCTCAGACTCTTTGGGGCTGACTTCTGCTGTTTCTGAGATTTCCAATTTCAGGCGTCTTGAAAAGGAACTAAGAGGGGTGACCGAGGAGGAGAGGAGATGAGGGACACAGGTGGCACCTCTGTGGTTTTGTGCACGCCGGGGACCCCCATGTGGGTGTTGCACACTTAAGAGCGCCGCGTGTCAAAGGCTCCACCTTTCTCGTCTCCCATGGGCTCATGCTGCATCTGCCGTGGGAAAAATCTCAACATGTTCAGTTTGGCCTGTTCCTTGAACCAGGCAACCCCTAAGGAGAGAGGGTCACCTCCTTGTGACTCTAAAAGCTGCTTCCCTAAGCTTAGAGGACATTGCTTTTGTGGACTGCCTCCCTAAAATACAGAAAGAAACAGAAGGTGCTCAGCATGAGTGTGTGTGCCTTCGTCACTGGCTTCCCAGTGAAGCTGTCTGACTCTTAAAGTCCCAGAAATCTGAATTCCTGCCCGAGAGCACAAGGAGACGATGCTCCCTCTCCATTTTGGGCTGGACTGCTCCCCGTTCACCGTGCACGGATGCCCGCTGTGTAGGGAAGCAATGACCCCCACTTTCCCCACACTCAACCCCATCCCACACACTCCTCTGGAGGCCCCTGGGCAGACTGAGTGTTGGGGAGCCGTAAGTCAGTTCCCTGATGCTTCTCCGTGACCTCTTTCCTCCCTAGATGAGAACGCCAATCTGGGCACAGTGATGCGGTATGAGGAAATCGGTAAGTGTGGCTGGAAAAGGGGGACACTTGGAGCTTCCTGCCTCTATGGGGCGGGGCGGGGAGGCCAAGTGGGGCAGGGGAGAGGTCTGGAGACCCTGAGTTGTGTCTGCTCTCAGACTGATTGCTCCAAACTAGATGAGAGTCTTAGTTATCTCCCATCTGGCAGTCCCCAGGAGGTAGGATGGGATGGCTTGGCAATTTTCCCTGCAGAGCCTCCTCTCCCTCATCCCAAACACGTGGAAGTTAGGCCTCAGTGGCAGCCAGAGGGACCTTTCTTTTGCCCATGACACTGCGTGAGGCAGAGGAGCTCCCCTGTCTTCTTTTTCTTCTTCCTGACTTCTGGGCTTGGAGGGCAAGGAGGGGAGAGGAGGCCGAAAGCTGCCTCCAAGGCCTCCCCGCAGCCTGGGGCAGAGGCCAAGGTGCCCCCCGTCTATGTGAGGGTGTGTGGGCCCGAGGCCAGAGCGGGTGGATGGGGCCTCCACCGGGTGGTCAGATAGGAAGGAGCTGGCTCACCCGTGGAAATGAGCTGAGTCCTGCCAGACCCTGGGAAGCAAACCAGAAAACTGAGTTCTTCCCAAGGTTCCAGGGCGGGTGAGAGATACAAGGGTGTGAGGCTGGGAAAGAACAGACAGCTGCCAGAATGGAGCAGGAGTGGGCCTGGGACCAGGTGACAGGAAAGGTCAGTGACAACTGGAATGCTTGGAACTCTAGCGTGAGGGGCAGCCTGGTGTCCAGCAGACACGCTCAATCTGGAATCCCAGCTGCAGAGATACGCCAGGCCAGTGCCTTCCTGGTTTGCCTCCATCGGGGGATGGATGTCAGGTGTTCCTGCTGTGGTCCTGGGAGCATCGGGTTCTCTCCCAGGAGGCCCCGCAGATGTGACGTCACTCAAGGGGCTTCTCTGGGTCATGTCCTCTGATCGGAGGGGTTGTGGCGTACCTGAGTTGGCTCCTACTGTTTTGTTAGAACCATTTCTAAAGATTTTTCAGGAAGTATGCAAACTGGTTGTTACATGCCGCCAATGCAAAGCATTAAATCATATGAAATACATTGCATTAACAACAAAGATGCTGAGTACTCAAAACTCCTCAGTTCTGAGGTGTTCTGCCCAAACGCCCCAAGGGCAAGGAAGAGAGCAAAGCCCTACTTACACTCTCACTCCCTGCCCGTCCACACCTGGCCCGAGCGGCCTTCCCCGGGAAGTCTTCTTGACCAGCCAGGCTCAGAGCCATCCTCAGACCTTTAACTGTGTTCAGTGTCTATTTCTCTCGTTCCTTGTCCCAGAAAGCATGTGCTGTGGCAAGCTTCAGCGTGACCCTGTTTCCCTTCCCGGCCCCCACGGCCAGTGTGTTGGTCGCAGCTGCCTGGAGCTCCCCGGCCTGCAGAGAGGCGCGCAGATGAGCGCTTGCACAGTGTGCTTCAGGCCGGCACCCTCAGAGTTCCTTATCTTACTGCCACCTTGCACCGGGCAGGGCTAGCCTTACCCCATCTTGCTCTTCTTTCCAAGAAAGGAAAGCTGGGAGGCTCCAGATGTTAGGACAGATTCGTGGCCTGGGGGCCTGGTGTGGTACAGGTGGCCTTGGCGGACAAGGGGAGCTGCAAAGGGCCCTGGGGTCTGGGCTTCACAGGCCCGGGATTCCTGGGAGGGGAGTGTGGTTGAGGCCCCACTGATTCGGCCTCCTGGCTCCAGATCCCTACATGGGGTGAACGATGGGGAGGGAGGCCGAAGGGAGCTGCCCTGCTTCCAGACTGCTGTGCTCAAGGCCCTCTGGCTCACGAGAAAGAAAAAGCCATTTCCTCCCAGCTCAGTTAGCCTCTAAGGCTCGGTTTCCATGTCCTTAAGCCTCTGACTGCTCCTGGAGGCTGCTCCAGACTCAGGGCTTTGCGGGCTGGAACTGCCTGCTTGGGCTCCTGCGATAAACCAGGAGGAACCGCTGCTGCCCTCCAGCGGCCACGCGTGGCATCCCAAGCTCTGCTATGGGGCCTGGGGTCCGTGACCAATGCATCTGTTCTGGTCCTGCAAGAAAAGGTGGAGACCTCACTTTTTAGCTTTCTGTGCTTTGGCTTTTTTTAAAAAGAAAAATAACCCCAACCATGCACTCAAATGAGTTTTTGGCTTGGGAATAGAAAAGAGATTTATTTTCATGGCTGTAGAGCAAAGCTTTCTCAACTGTGGACCATAGACATCTGGAAATAAACAGTTCTGTGATGTGGGGGGAGCCATGTGCCTTGTAGGATGTTCAACAGCATTTCTGCCCTCCGAGTACCAGATCCCGGGAGCCCACCTCTCTCCCTGGTCTTGACAACTGAAAAGTATCTCCAGGCATTGTCAGGTCCAGATCATTCTGCCCCCCCACCCCCACCCCATTGAGACCCACTGACACAGAGAAAGCCAAGGGCTGCCACATCCTCTGGACAAGGCCACCCAACTGAAATCTTAGGCAGTCAGAGCTCCAGAGCCTTGGCTTCTTTCTCTTTCTACAGAAAAAGAGCTCTGGAGCTCTGGGTGGTTCTAAACACGGGATGGGGAACAGTAGGATCCCAGGAATGACCCAGTCTGGCTCCTCTCAGCCATATGAAGGCTGGTTCATCTCCACAGATGGGGAGTTGGGCCAGAAGGCCTGTGGCATAGCATGGAAGGAGGGAGACACCTCTTCCCCATGCCCCCCCTTCCCACTCCAAAAACAAAGGCCATGAGGTCCACGCAGGAGGCTCCTGGACAGCTTGCCTCCATGGCCTCTGTGGTCACTTGTCTGCTGTTCACTTATTCAGTAAGTCCCAAGCACCTACCATGTGCGGGTCACTGCCAGGCCCTGGGGATATAAAGATAAGTTAAGGTCCCCACACATAAGCAGACTGGGCTACGGGATGATGTGGAGGGGAGGGGACGCTACAGGAATATTTTGGAGCTAAGACCCCAGGGCTCCATGGGGCTCCCTGAGGAAGGACTGCCCTGGGTGGGACAGCAAGATGTTGGCACTGTCGTCAGCCCAGCAGCCTTCCTTCTCTGTGCCACCTGGAGATTCCCGCAGCAGGGACCAGGTCACTGTCTGAAAGTCCTTGTGAGGTCCCCGAGGAGCGGTGTGGTCTCAGGCAGGCAGGCCTAACAGCCATGTCTCCGCGTCGGTGCAGGGTGGCAGTGGTTTCTGGAAGGCTCTGAGCAGGGCTGTCTCACACTTTCAGACAAGATGCCCACAGCCACGGCCTCTTGCCAGAGGGCCCAGGGTGCCTGGGAACCACACGCTGCACACTGAGTCACACCCAGGCAGAGGTCTTCCCCCACATGGTCTGAGAATCCTGGGATCCTTTTCTCCCCACCGCTCAGTTTTAATAAGTCAGTGAGTTTGCTGCCCGTCGTGATGGGCCATGCTGGGATAATTCAGAGCAGGCTTCAGGAGGGAAGGAAAATAAGTGACAAGCAGGAAGCCCGCCTGGGAAGGAGGCGGGTGGGCTCAGCCTTGCTTCTCAAGCTGTTTGCTGAGGGCGGTGGCCCTGGAAAGGGAGGACATCTGATTAACTCAGTACCGCATGGGTACACTCGGTGTTCCCCCAACCCCCCATCGTGTCAGCATTTGTGATGAAGCCTGGATAATGCACAGCAGCATGGAAGCCAGACTCTGTTGACAATTAAGTTTGATGGGGAGCAAAAGAGAGAGCCCCTTAGATCTAAGACAAGTCACATAGCTGGCTCGGTCTCTCTTGGGATGACCAACCATCCTGGTTTAGCACGGAAGGACCGGGCCCCCAGAAACCCCTCCATACCAGGCAAGCCAAGACCCTCCCTGAATGACAGCTCCTCTCGCAAAGGGCAAGAGTGGTCTGTAAATGAGCCGGGGGCGTGGCGGGCAAAGGCTTCTATACTGCACGCACCACAGTGCCGGGGAGCCTGGAAGAGCTGGGTGCTGGAACCCCAAGGGTTGGTGACTTCTGTGTTAACAGGGGAAGGGCTGGGAGTTGCATGTTTTCCAGGTCTCCACTTACCCCTGTGCAATCTTTGCTCCCCCTCCTCAGAGCTGCGGATCTTGCTGCTGTGTGGCAGTGACCTGCTGGAATCCTTCTGCATCCCGGGGCTCTGGAACGAGGCGGATGTGAGTAGCAGGGTTACTGCAGCACCACACACAGCTGCCTTGGGAAGGATGGGGAGGGGACACCTGGTTCCAGCCTTTGCTTTTTCCACGCCTCCCCTACTACCTCCCTCCCCAATCCGAGCATCCCATCTCGAGGAGCTCCCCAGAGGACGATCCATTCACGTCACTATGGAAGAAAGGTTCCCACCTATCCCAAGCTTTATCCCGGACTGCATTTTTGTACTCACTCCTCCTCAATCTTGCTCCTGTAAAGTCTCTTGGAAGAAAGCAATCTGAGTCATGGAATACCTTCTCCAGGGAGTACTTGGAGTGTCTGTGTGTGGCAGTGAGTGGGGGAGGGAAGGATTTAAAAAAAGCCTTTGCCCTTTTGAGATTATGTGTGTTTTGTTTTCCTTTGATTCCTTTTGAAGAGGTAGTAAATACCACCCTAGAATTCCCTCAGCAAGAAGAAAGGGGTCAGGAGGAGAGGCATTAATGGCAAAAGGTCAGTAGGATCCTTCGAGCAATTGACTGGGGAAGAGAAGGAAACAGGAAGTTAAACTTATACCACTTGGAAGCTCAATGTACATCTTTTGTTGCCAGATCTGATGTTGATGGTCTTAAACCAGCTAATTCCTAAGTTACTCACCTTTGGTCTGTACCTTGGCTCTTGCTCTTTCATTAATTTGTTCACTGGATAGCCTGAGTTTTGCTAGCTCCCAATTCCATAGCCCTGTGCAAGTTGGATTCTCAAGGCAGCAATTCCAGATCTCGTGCTTTCTTTACTAACCTGCTGTGAAACCCCATGCAAACCACTCAACTCTCTGGGAATCAGATTTTTTTTCCAGTTTTATTGAGATATAATTGATATGTAACATGGTATTATTTTTTTAAAAGACTTTATTTATTCATGAGAGAGAGAGAGAGAGAGGCAGAGACACAAGGCAGAGGGAGAAGCAGGCTCCATGCAGGGAGCCCGACGTGGGACTTGATCCTGGGTCTCCAGGATCACGCCCTGGGCCGAAGGCGGCGCTAAACCGCTGGGCCACCAGGGCTGCCTGTAACGTGGTATTAGTTTAAGGTGTAGAATGCAATGATTTGAGATGTGTATATATTGCAAAATGTTATCAGAGTAAGTTTAACATCACTTCACATAGTACATCTTGGTTGTGTTTTTAAAAATCTATACCATGTTACCTAACACATTTTGACATTTGAAAAAATAGGCAGTATTAGGTGGCAAGACGTATGCATATGAATTTTTTTCGTGTACATACATGTATTTCTCTGAAGAGGGAGAGAAGACCCTCAGGATCAGATTCCAGCTTCCAGGTCCATTCCAACACAGCTCATGACAAAAATCTATCTTTTCAGTTCAGTTCAGACCTTCAGTTTTTCCCATCTCTAAAATGGGTGTAATAATAGTACCTGCCTCATAGGATTTGAGGAAAATGAAATGAGATTGTGTACGTGAAGTGCCCAGCCTAGTGCTGCACACATTTACATACAACAAATGTTCCTAAGGGAATTTACCTAAACTAACTCATAGACATACACACAGATATTCCAGGTGAAGGGTGTGAGTGCTAACACGCTGTGGGAGGACCAGGAGGGCAGGGAGAGTTTCCCCGCAGATGAATTATGCTGTGTAAGCCTTTCATCACCACCCCTGGACCATTTCTTGCGGGTGAAATTCTAAACCTCCTTTCAGTTCTGGATGAAGTGACTTAATTAACTTTCACTTTCCTCTCTACTTCACAAGGTGCTGTGAAAGTAAACAGTACTGTACCCAAAGTTGTGTACAAGATCTCAGCAGAGCTCTTTCTGGAAGCTAGGCAAATCAGGGAGTGGGGGGCAGCTGTGGGGGACACATCCCTTGGGGAGGCCCGGATATCCTGGAGGGATGAAGTCAGCACCTGGGGCAGCAGCCTGAAGGGCCGCCTACACGAGCACAGGGAATCTCTGGAGCCCCCTCTCAGGAGCACACCTCCCCCTCTGTGGAGCCTGGAATTTATAGCATAGGGACCCTGGAAGCACAGCCAGTCCTTCTCTGTTCCTCCCAGTTAGATTGCTGACCTCAGGTCCTCTGACTTCTTTCCAAAATGGTCTCTCTTGCTGTTGGCAGATCTGACATTTGAAGACCAAGAAAAGGAGACCCAGGTCTCTCCTCTTCCCATTGGGCTCTGGTGTTGAAATGACATGTTGGTTAAGACCAAAAAAAAAAAAAAAAAGAGAGAGAGAGAAACCAAAAGCTGTTGATTAACTGGGAATGTAGCCATGAAGGTGGAGTGAGACCCTCACTTATTCAGCTATGTTCCCCCTTGGTTGGTGACTCTGAAGATCCAGAGCACCCAGCCCAGCTGCACCCAGAGAGCACAACGAGAGGGCCAGCAGGAACCCACATCCCTCCTGCCTGGCTGGTACGAATCCCAATCCACAGCACAGGCAGCAGGGACTTGGGTGAAGTAGACAAAGCTCACGCCAAAAGGCTTTCTGGAGCCTAGAGCTCTACCTCCCCATCCCTTCTCACTCAACTGCTCTGTCCCCTAACTTAACCCACAGCCAATCTGTGGAGTCCTTAGAATTGTGGCACCTGAGGCAGAGGGGGGAAAAAAATCAAGGAGCTGTTTCCTTACATAATGAGTGTGAATCTCAACCCACAAAAGAGGTGTGCTAGAAATATCACCTTTGATTTATTTAAATCAAATTAAAATTCAAGTCCAGATCTATTCCACAGGGATGATGGGAAGTTAGTCTCAGTTATTGTATTACTGATTAGCAGAACCTGAAAGGCTTCCGTCGGCCCTGAACACTAACATTTGTTCATCAGGGTCCCCACGGACGCCTTCCCTGTCTGGACATTCGTGGCCACTTGCGGGGCTCCTGGCCCAGTCTGGAAGCCCAGTGCGGGGCCCCACCCACCAATGATCATCAGGACCCATTTTCTTCTGAGGATTTGCCCCTGGGAGGTTTTGCTCTAGGAAGGAGGAGAGATCTGGTTTTCACAGATCCCTAGGTTCCTTCTAGTGTAGAAATGGGGGGGGGGGACGCAGAACCTCTTCTTTCTGTTCTAAGGGTATCTTTCTATTTTCTTTCATCCTCGGGATATCTAGAGAAATCTCTTCTGTGAGTTTATAGCCACTGACTGTAAAACATTGATTACTGCCCTGCGAATTAGAGACTAGGGTCTTCTGGTACAGGGTCTGGTTCTCTGCTAGAAATAGGGTTGGGCTGGGCAGAGGGGGATGTAGTTAGTTAGTAACTACTAACTAGTGAGTAATTCAATGGCTTACTCCACAGTCCCTGTTTGAGGATGGTTGGATCTCAGGGTCTAGAAAAGGAAGGCCTTACTTTAATGACTGGGTATGGGGTGAGTCCTGCTTATTCTACTAGAAAATTCTACCCTCTGGAGTTTGCCTGGAAGGGGTCCATTGTAGGGTTTTTAGTTCCTGTCCATGAGATTACCAGGGACAAGGCATATGGACCTATGCTGGGTTTCTTCATTACCTGGTGTCCCATTACTTGTTGCCACAGACCTCTGTTTGGTCACCAGGAGCCCAAACCCCTGAATCTGCCCATGACTTGGGGACAGGAGGTGGGGAGAAGAACCAAGCTTCTTGGGAAGGCCACAGGCCCTGGCTCCACATCCTAGCCTCCTATGTTCTTCAGAATCCTCAGGATTCTGGAGGAAGGAGAGAAGCCACTAGTTCAGACAGATCTGGGGAGAAATAGGAGTCTCTCCACCCTTCTGTAAAGAAAGCTCAAAGCAGGCTGTGGAGCAGCTTTGTTCTCCAGAAGCAGCTGAGCTGGTCTGTTCCACAGCAGGATGCCAAGGCTTCCTCCAGCACAGTCACAAATTCTCCGCTGAGTCGCTCTAGCTCTTTCTATCGGGATTCCTGAAGGTGTGCTCTCCATCCAGCAGTCTAATCACACAGTCAAAGGAACAACCCTACCTCCTAACACATCCCTTGGGCATTTCCTATTAGGCACAAAGATCCATTAGCCCACGGTAAATTCTGACCTCCTCTGACCAATGACACACCCTTCCCCTTACATTCCAGGGGCAGAAAATTCCATACATATCCATCAAGTTTCTCTCCGTGCAATACAAAAGAGCTGCTTGTGCAGCCTGGCAGTTGCTTTTTCATTCTTGATTCCTTAGAGTATTCAAGATCCAGGCTCCTGGGCTAACCTTGGAGATCAACCCCCAGGGACACCTCTACACCCCCCCCACCCCCCCACCCCCACACAGCCCTTCCCATCCCTGGGTTTCTATTACAGAGTTAGTCTCCCCTAGGGGGCCTGATCTTTGCTGTGCTGCATCATCCTGGCACCGGCACGAAGGCAGGTATCCAAGCAAGGACCAGCATTTGTGGGAAGTCAAGGCCAAGGAATAAAGGGTCAGCCAGAGACACACATTTGTGAAGCGGGAAGCTGTTACATTCACTCTCCTCCTCCAAATAAAATCAGTTGTCTAGGGCTCTTATGCTGTCAGCTGCTGTGTCCATCCACTGCTTTGTCCATTATAAAAGAAGGCAGTCTGGCAATTTAATTCTGATCCAAGCATTCTTTCCTTCAATCAATATTTTTAGTTCTTTTTTTTAAAGGATTTTATTTATTCATGAGAGACACACACACAGAGAGAGGCAGAGACACAGGCAGAGGGAGAAGCAGCCTCCATGCAGGGATCCTGATGCAGACACTCAACGGCTGAGCCACCCAGGCATCCCTCAATCAATATTTCAACTTAACACATATTATTAGAGCCCAGGATGAATATAAGCATGTTACTTGTCCTGAGAGCACTTGCAATCTAAAAGTATCTTTTTTATTATATTCATTTTTTATATTGCATGAAATAAAATTGTAAAAAGTTTAGAAGAGTTCCTGAAACTAGTAAGCACTCAATAAATGTTGGCTGTTATTCATCTATTGGTTTTAAAACATTCATTGAGTACCTACCAAGGGCCAGACATTGTTCTGGGGCTGAATGAGCAGAGAAAACAAAATAGACAAAGCTT